CCCTCAGGATTTATCCTGAGATCCTGTACCTCAGATTGGACATCCTTTGTCAGTGTCAGCCATGTGGAGGAGTCACAGCCATTGCTTGGCCGAGATTATTATATTTTAAAGGGAAATTATTTCTTAAATAAACTTATTAAGAGGACAAGGGGATAGCTCAGTAGAATAAGTGCTTGCCTGGCAAGCGCAGGGTCCTGAGTTCAATCCCCGGTACTGCAAAAAACAAAACACACACACAAACTTAATAACAAAGGATTATTTTAGTATCATTCATCTTTGTTAAAAGTGTTACACAGTAATATATTGCCTCATGAATGCTTCTGTTGACAATTCACTTATCAAACAAAACTGTTTGATAAAACTTTGCTTTTGTCAAACTCCACATCAGGTGACAAAATCACAGCTGTCTTCCTCATACAAACACAAACATGGTTATCTTTCCTAAAGGCTATCTCCAAAATTGTAAAACAGATTTTTCTTTCTGGTATCGGAGATCCAACTCAGGACCTTGCACTTGTGAGGCCACCTGCTGCTTTTGCCACCTGCTGAGTTATCTCCATGGCCCAACAAATTTAAGTGAACTGAAATACCTCTGTCTTTATTAGTCAGCTTTCTCTTTAGCAAAATACAAAGGTAGTTTATTAAAGCATGTACTGTTGCTGACAGTCTGAGGGGATTTAATCTGTGGTCAGGTAGACCTAGATCTAAACTTTGATGGGTCTGCTGGATGGCAATGGAAGGGAGAGTATTATAGAGCATAACGTCTTACATCACCAATCAGGGAGTAAAGACATAGACCTCTGGGGAGCATTTATTTAATCCATAGTAGTGACCTCTGTTACTGTTTTTAGGATTGAAAGAAGCAATATGGGAATGTTAACTACCTGAATGTGTCCTGATTTTTGCCTTTTGTACTTACAGTTTTAAAAAGAATCTTTTCCAAAGGGAAAGGAATGTATGTTTTGAGGATCTGGCTTAAGTCTCAGGCCTATAGCTTTATATATTAGATATTTTAGGTCATAGCCTAGTGGGGAGCTAGCTAGCTAGCTAGCTAGCTAGAATGAATTGCATTCTACATTTTAGTGAATTTTCATCTTTTTACTCACCTGTATTAGAAGTTGTAGGCTACAAAACTTTTCATACACAGGGATAATTTTTGGGGGGGTTGGATAACTTTTGATTAGAAGCTACAGAGGGCAGTAGTCAGGAGTTTTAAATTTACTTCAAAAAACTAGGATTAGAAGGACCATTTAAGTCCCATTCCCCCTCTGGGTATTTTTCCAGAATTATTAAAAACATGCCACAGCAGTATATGCGCACCCAATTTATGGCAGCACTTTTTGTTGTTGTTTTGTTTTGAGACAGGAGTCTCGCTGTGCAGTTCATGTTGGCCTTGAACTTACTTTGTACCCCAGACTGGTCTGGAACTCGTAAAGATTCTTCTCACAGTACAATTTATAATAGTTAAG